CATTTTATTAAATATGATCACCTAAAAAAGGTCTTCAATGAATGCTATTATACAAGGAAGGATGGAGACAGGGAAGAAGGAAGGGAGGAAGGAAAGAAGGAAGGGGAGGAGGGAAGGGGAACAAGGAAGGGGAACAAGGAAGGAAGGAAGGAAGGAAGGAAGGAGGAAGGAAGGAAGGAAGGAAGGAAGGAAGGAAGGAAGGAAGGAAGGAAGGAAGGAAGGAAAAATGTTATATGAAATCTGAATATTTAATCTTATCAAAATTAAAACACACTTTGTGTGATTTATACTTGTATTTCACCAATTTCCTTACCTTTTCTTTTTCTTAGGAAAGTGCCAAGTATAAGATATGCATATTTTATAAAATTGTTTGTTACGTATTTGTTCTACATGCATCTTTGTTCTACATGCACTGTGCACAGATTTTGCATGGAAAAAAACATTATTACAGAAAGGCTTGACACACAGTTTTAAAAATAACAGAATAGAAGGTTAATTATTTATTTTTCTTAATTTGGGGTATATACAGACGCTTGTTTATTGACTTTTCCTAAATGTACTGCATCACAACTAATGTCTTAGTTTCACAAATTTCAGTTGATGTCCTTTTCAGAATGTTTAGCAAGTTCAAATGTTTTATCAATTGATCTGGAACATTACTAAGTGAAATAAAAAGATATTCCTTCAAGTGAGATACTCTCATTTGAAGTTTGATTTGCATATAAGAATTTCAAATGAAAAAGTCCTAAAACTACTGATATTAATAGTTGATGGGATACAGCCATCTGTATATTTGCAAGGTAGTCTCTTGCAAAGATCCCAGCTTCCATTGAATAACACATAAGCATTCTTAGGATAAAACTGAGATTTGGTTTCACATGTGGTATAATATACCTAATAATATTAGGTATATTATACCACAGTATACCTAAACTGACCACAATCAGAGAAAGTTGCATGTGATATGGGAATAATTAAGGCTAGTAACTTAGTTAATTCTTTCTTTGTCTTACTAAAATGCCTTATTTGAATGTTTTGATTAACTAAAACTATGATAGTTAGCATACATCCATGATGGCAAACTTATGGCACCCATACCCAAAGTGGCATGCGAAGCCATGTCACCCGGCACGTGCAGCCTTGCATGTTTGTATTCCGGGTTTCTGGCATGCATGCGTGTGTGACGATCAGCTGTCCTTTGCATGCGTGGCAGTGCCATAAACCAGTGTGTGCATGTGCGCTGGTCAGTTGATTGTCAGGTGCGCATGTATGCCAGAACCCAGAAGCTTTTCCAGAGCACAGCCCCGACGAGCGTGAACATGTGCACACATTTCTACACAACCTTTACAGCACTTGGGGCCAAAAAGATTCGCCATCACTGGTATACATGTTTGGCTCCATCTGATAATAATCATGACATAGGAAGTAAGCATTGGTCTTTTTGAAGGGATCTAAACAGGTAGTCCTCAATAGCCTGCCCATTATGGTCACAAGTTGTGATGGCTGTTAAGTAAGTGCCCATGTGATCACCTCGCTTAATGCCATACCTAATGACACCCCCCCATCTCTTCTCTCCCCAAAGTGGTCATTAAAGGTAGAAGCAGAAGGCTAGAAGTTGAGGAGGGTCGGGGAAATGATGCTGGGAGAAACCTATTTACCACCTTCATTTCTCCCTGCAGTTCACAGGATACCTTGCCCTGCCTGGGTAGAAAGGAAAGGATAACCGAACAAGAGCAAGCTGCTCTGTCTCTTGGCATTCTTAGGCCTCATTGCTATTAGTATTGCTAGATAGTGTCATTAGACTGTTCCAAAAATGGCAGCTTCCTGCTGATTTCCCTCGACCCATGGAAGTGAGGAAGCTGGCAGGAAATTGCAAGTCCCAGGATGGCAGGTAAGTAAGTGTCTGCTGTTGGGTGAGTGAAGGAATGAGTAATGTGGCAAGGTTTGAGAATGATGTGGGAGGATATTGTGGGAGGCGTGGCAAGAGTTGAAATGCAGTTCTGTCATTTTGATTCACTCTTCTTCCTCCATGAATACTTACTTCTTCCCATTCTGAAGTAAATGATGGTGTTCTTTCAGAATTTCTTCTAGAGGTTTCTTGGATAGCTGAAGATTCATTCCAATTCTGTCTTGCTTTGTGATCATTAGATGGGTAAGAAACAAGATTTGAATCTGATTTAGAAATGTATTTGGATAAATGAATGTCAAGAAGTGTCTTTGGCAAAGATCGTATTCGTCCAAGTGTGCAAGCACGTTCTACAATTCCTGCAGCATTAACTACCCACTGATCTCCAGTTCTTGTGATACCAGCCAAGGTGTTAGCTTCTCCTAGAATGTTTTTAGAAGGGAATATAGTTCTATTTAAAATTGGTGGTTTTTTCTTTTTAATCAGAAGAACAGCGCTATTTTCTTGCAGAGAATGTTGTGGATTCAAAATAGTGAGGTTCAAACTAATTTTCTGATTCAAGTCTTCCTTTGGACAAATTTTTCTGTAGAGCTGAAACGGATTTTCTGGTGGGTCACAAGCAGGTGATGATCCATGAAGAAGGCCAGCGAACTGCTCAAAAGGGTGTGCTTCTAGATGATCACTGTCAATGGATGTTTGCTGGGTTCCTGTAAAATATAATGATCCTTACTGTTTTATTATTTTAAACAGAAAATTTAATTTAATTTAAAAATTAATTTTAATTTAATGCAACAATGCATTAAGAGTAATGCATTGTTGCTTGCACAATTGGAAAAAATATCTGATAATAGCATTAAAGAAAATTGTTGTTTTTTAATTGTGTTCAGCTATATTTTAGTACATTTCCAGAATTACTCCCTTACTTTGAGAATCTTAGCCTTATTAAATTCCTATGAAGATTGACACAAAAGAGAATAATATAATTTGGTGTATTATGATCTTTTAAATTTTAAATTCTCTTTATCTAATATGGAAGATATATATGTAAATACGGAAAACCCCATAATATACAATGGGGGCAAATAGCCTCACTAATGTAAAATAAAAACTGTGAGTTTTACATGTTGCAGTTTTTCTTAATTGTCGTTGCTTTTCTATATATGCATGTATCATGTATATAACACTAATAGTACAGATAATGGATTCATCAATTGAAATAACATGCCTGTAATGTAACTTGAAAGTGTGTAGAATTGAAATGTTTCAATACACTGAATATTTATTTTGCATTCACCTTTGTTCTGGTGCAGAACTTACTACATAATAGCTTTGAATTATCTTTATTTTGGTATTCATTCAAAATGAACTATAGATAGAATTAAGAAAATAATTTAAGCTCCACTTGGAAGAATATGTGCTTCAACCTGTTAATGGTGTGTTTTATTTAATTATAACATTAAGAACTCTGATTTTTAAAATAATTGTTAAAGGTTATAAATGCAATAGTAAAAGAAGGAAATAAGAATAGAAAGAAAGAGTATAAACTTCAAAGGAAACTAAAACAACTAGGAGAACAAAAAGAAAGAAAAGAAGAAAAGAACCAATATAATAAAGAAAAGGAAAATACACATATAAAGAAGTGATTTTCAACTTTCATCACAATAAGTATAAACTATTTAGTAACTTTTTACCTCCTTTTAATTTACATCAAATTATCTCTTCATCATATGTCCCATTTCTTATATATAAACAAATCTATAAAGCATCATCATTTCAGTTCTTGAATCAGCAAATGTCTATTAAGTGTTGCCAGAAATAACAATATATTTATTTGAATTTTCATCTAGTATATCAACTTTATATTGCTTCCTTTTGCTCCTAAAAATTATAATCTCTAGTTTATTCAAGTAATGTCATACTTTTTGATTATTTTTTATTTCTTGTTTTACCCCTTCTCACAAGATTCATCCAAACTTTAATAAACCTGTTTTGTAAATCAAATAAAAATATTATCCAGGTCATTCTCTTCATTTATTATTTGCAATTCTCTCTCTTTTTTAAACCATGAATCATTTTTTATTGTTATTGTGTCCAATAAAACATTTTTCCATGTCATTCTGGTAGCCTATCATTTCCAATGTCAACTCTTTCTTATCAAATAAAACTTGATCTTCTTCTGTCATTTCTTCTAAAATATATTTTGGACACAGTCTATGCATAAAAGCAAACATTGCTATTGACATTATTAATATTAATTTCTGGTTCTATTTTTCAAAAGTATCCTTCATTATTTCCAATGTTATAATATTTTGCATTATTCTCTATCTATTAATTTGGTGTATATATTCTCTTTGTTTAATTAAAGTCTTTAGATCCTTAAGTGTCTAGTTTTTAAAACTGTTTCTTTTTTTTTATCTTAGAAAAAAAAATAAAACAAGTCCACTTTTCCACAGGAAGGGGGCTTTATAATTAATTCCAGATCTTATTTCAAATTTATTTATTTATGTAAAATCTTCTTTAAAGTGTTTATGCTTGTAGTAATTTTGTTGTTTCATTAAAGATTTAAGGCATACTCACTCACTGCTTTCAAACTTGTCAATAGGTTTAATTTCTAATAGCTGAAAAGTAGTTAATAAGTAATTCTGATTGTGATTAGAAAAGGAAGTGCGTAAAACCAGTATCCCTTTAAAGATGCCGATCATGGCTATTCACTCATCTCCCAGTGCTCCGCATCCATCAGAGACCATTGTCTTGAAGTATTCTCACAAAGAGTAACTGTCTCAAGCACTTATGTGCAATCTCTCTGTCTGGAGAGATTCAAAGATCTACCTACTCATTTGTTCTTTGTTCTTCACTGCTTCTTCCTCCAGAAGAATATCAAGAACTTTGTAATGAAAACCCTTTTCACAATTCTTGTGTTGGTTTTCTCATGCAGACAGTCCCCAAGTTATAGAAAGATTTCAATCCAGGAACCCTTTTGTAAAACAATGTTCATGCAAGTTGAATTGTGCACTACACACATATACAAAATTAATGCCTGTTCTGTATCCAATTGTAAAATTTCAGAATTATGTAAAGCAGGACATACATAATCTTGGGACTTCTGGTATTATGAATGTTTACAGATATATACTTTTTTCTTAACTACAAGAAATGTTTTTAAACAATTTATGCAGTTCCATGAAATTTACATTCAAATATGAGAATTTTACTTGATTTCATGCTTTTAAATCAAAATAGACAAGACACCGCAGCTAAACTTAGTTGGATTTTTAAAAGTTTTGATATGATTCTTAGAAGTTACTGAAACAGGTTTGTCTTATTTGGAATTTCCCCAAAGTTTTATATTTTTGACTGACATAATTCATTCAAACTTTTCATCATGTATTATTTTTAATTGTATAATTCCTCCTTGATCAAATTTATGTACACATCAAAGATACCTTCTTTCTTTCTTTCTTTCTTTCTTTCTTTCTTTCTTTCTTTCTTTCTTTCTTTCTATGGTTTTAATTTTATTTTAGTACTTATTGCTAATGTAATAGACTTTCTGAAAACATTTATAGAACTAACTTTTAGAAGACACAGCAAAGTAAGAGAACTAAGGTTTTAGATTAGGATTTGACTTTTTCACTTATCTTGCTATAAATTTCAGAGGAATATTCTCATCCTACATCTGTTCATTAAATTACATTAAATAATTTAGCAATATTCTCAGTACTTTAGACAGAGGTGGTATTCAGCAGGTTCTGACCACTTCTGGAGAACTGGTAGTTGAAATTTTGAGTACTTCGGAGAACCGGTAAATACCACCTCTGACTGCCCCTGCCCCCATTTATTCTCTGCCTCCTGAGTCCCAGCTGATTGGGAGGAAATGTAGATTTTGCAGTAACCTTCCCCTGAAGTGAGAAGGGAATTGAGATTTTACAGTATCCTTCCCTGGAGTGGTATGGGAATGGAGATTTTACAGTATCCTTCCCCTGCCATGCCTACCAAGCCACGCTCACCAAGCCACTCCCACAGAACTGGTAGTAAAAAAATTTGAATCTCCTCACTGCTTTAGCAATTATATTCTGTATGATTTTTGACTGCGAAAATTACAAATTCATGTGGTAAAAAGGGGATTCAAATTTAAACCTGAATGGCAGCAATATTGATATAAGATGTCTTGTCAACATTTCAGTTAGCTTTTATTTTCAACAAAGAGGCAGGCAAGAAGACTGTTCTGCAATATGATAAAAGATTTTGGAGTTCTTCGGTTTATAAAATAATTTCCCAAACTTTCAGTCATTTTTAAATTATTATTAGGTGACAAACTAATTCTTGTTTAATTAGTTTTATATAATAAAACTATATAACAATATCATAAACATTCATGTATATATCCACACACATATTAATGTTCTATATTTTGAAATACTATTTTAAGTGAAATATTATTTTGCAAAGCTTACATAGGAAAATCAAACGTAGTTGAAATTGGCAAATAAACTCATTCTAACACTAGAGGTTTTGTTTTTTTCATTCAGTTTCCAATGTATACGTTTCCTATCCTTTATGCTAAATATTATATAATGGAGAACTGGGAACAGTTGAACTATATATTAAAGTAATAAAACTGCAATTTTTATTATGAGTGAAAACTGAATTAATTATACCTACTGAATAAAAATACGTGTAACAAGCGAGAATCAAATTATTAGATGAATAATGCTTGTAAAAAAACCTATCATATTATATCAATAATAAGCCCTGTGGTTGCCATAGCAAAGGATTCTAGTATGAAACAAAATCTCTTGTTTGAAATGTGTGCCATAGCTATGGTAACAAGCACATTATGACACTTGCGCTGCTAATCTACTTAAATTATCTTTATATTTGATTTAGAAGGAAATATTAGTAATAAAAATCTAAAAATATTTCTAAAAATATATAATGTGCAATCATTGGCACACTGGAATGTTGAACATCCAATAAGAATTAGAAAAGGAGAACATTCAGCAAGTTGTTGACACTTTGTCCAAGATATGTTGAAGAAAATGTTGATGTGTTCAAAGCAATGAACAGGTAACTGCCTTGTGTCTTAGAAGATCATACATCACATTATTTACATGAATGAGAAATGCTACATAAGATTCATAAAATAGGTATACATTTTTCACAAGAGATTATAGAATTTAATGAAGGGATAAGATGTATACAGTATATTTCTAATAAGTACATGAATAAACAGAACAGATTCATCATTCTCTTTAAATAACAAATAAAAATGGATAGATGGTACTATGAAATAAAAGCTGTTGAAACATTAAGGTACAAAAAACAGAAGTTCCTATAAACATTGAAACACAAAATGTATTATTTATTAATAATAAACAAGTATTTATTTTTAATAATGAATACTTAACTATATGAGTAAATATATATGTATCACATATAAATTTTATATAATACAAATGAATATGTACGTGTGTGTTTGTGTGTGTGTGTGTGTGACTGCATATAATTTCTAATTATTGGAATATGAATTGGAAGGTGATCTTTTAAAAATTGTTTATTTACTTATTAAATTTGTTTGCTGCCCATCTCACTGCAAGGCAATTCTGGGCTGCTTGCGACATCAAAATAAAACTGTTCTGTCCTGAGAACGAGGGGTTAACAGAAAGGAGGAGAGGCGGAGATAAAGGCTAACAAGTTTATTCACTAACAAATGGTTGCCGACACAGCATCTAACACTGTGCCTGATCAGCTGTCGACAACAGCTGAGTTTAAGCAAGCCCGCTCTTTTTATATCAGGTTGTCAAACAGAGCAGCCAATCAGAGAAGAGGGTGGCACCCTCTAGCTGATGGACTGGAGTGGAGACTATGAACACAGCAAAAACCATAAAAAATATACAAACATATAAAATCACAATAAAAACATAATAAAAACAAATTAAAACTCAAACTCAAACACAACACATGGGAGGAAGTGGCAACTGCTATTAATTGATCAAATACATCCAGCATGATATCTCCTCCCCCCACTTGGGGCCTCAGGCCAGCTGGCAGAGCCTGGTCTTCAGGCTGGAAGAAAGCCAGGAGGATGGGAATCAATCTAACCTCAGGGATTGAGATATTCCAAAGAAATGTCACAGTTGAGAAGGCTCTTTTCCTGGGCCCCATCAACCAGAATTCCTTGACTGATGGAATCTGTAGCATGCCTCCTCTGCTGGCATGGGTGGGGTGGGCCTGTCCCAAAAGGGGTGAAATGGTTCCTCAAGTAACCTGGACTCCTGCCATGCAGGGCTTTATAGATAATAGCCAACACCTTAAACTGCAACCAGAAGCAAATTGGCAGTCAGTGCAGCTTGTTGAACACTGGTGTAACAAGGGCCACTCTAAAGGTTCCAAGGACTGTCTGTGCTGCTACAGTTTGTACCAGCTGAAGCTTCTGAATGCTATTCAAGTATAGTCCCATGTAGAGCACACTGCAGTAGTTCAAGTGTGAGATGACCAGGACTTGAATGACTATGCGCAAGGATTCCTGATCCAGGAAAGGCCACAACTGGCAAACAATCTGAAGTTGGGCAAAGTCTCTCCTAGCTGCAACTAGTGTTATGAGTCCAGGAGAACCTCCAAGTTGCAGATTGGGTCTGACTGTGGTAGTGCCACCCCATCCTGAGCTAAAGATATCAAAGTCCTAGATCTTAAAGGTTCATGTACCCAAACCATTCAGTCTTGCTACCTGCCTGGATACCTGCCTGGACACATCTCTGAGAGGAGAAGCCCCCTCCCTTTTCCAGGTCAATGAGTTTTCATTGATGCATGCCAAGTTGGCTCATTCTTCCTCAATAAGATCTTGAATAATGGGAGGCTTGTTAATGAATGACTTGGCATTCATCAGCAGCAGCTGAAGTTCCAGACCTCTGACAGTATGCTGTCCAGGAACTGGGAATGAGCTAGGGTGGCTAAAACGCCCCCTGATATATCACACACATCAAGGGCATCTTCCCTTGAACAGAAGACAAACCTGTCCTCTGGCTCCCGTAGCATTCATGTCCATCACCATTTTAATGCATTGCTCTACCCCACATCTCCAAGGTGATCATTCCCCCTTCCACCCTCACCTTCTCTATACTTCTCTGTTGGAACAGAGTAATGAATAATAAAATACTAACATCCCATGGAATCATTATAGTAACAATCATGCATGATCAATATTTTTGACTTATATATCTCTGGCTCCCCCCCAAATTTTAAATTCCTTCTGTGAATATGTTATTTTATTGTAAAATGCTACAAAAATTCCATAAATAAATACAACCTGTACAGCAAAATAAAGTGATGTATATAATATTTCAAGTTGAACAGACATAAGTAAATAAAAAAACTTCCTTTTTTTCTGAACAATGAGAAGGAAAAAGAGAAAAACAACAAGGATATATGGTTTTTCCTATGGTCCTAACCCTAACCATAACCCTAACAAACCTATCCCCAGGTATGCAATAGTAAAAACCAGAGTGGAATGTAAACAATAAATATAAATTTTAACTTAACAGAATGCCACCTTTCTTTTCTACAAGTTTAAATATCCTCATTCTCTTCTATCTCTGCTTGAGCAATCATGTTGAGAATTCTTCTTTTCTTCTGCCTCGGTCCTGGGCACTGAGCTACAGCTGCTAGAATTCTTTCAGCCCAAGGGAATTTTGTTTGCTCCCTATAAAAGGAATTTTGCTATTGTTTTTTTTTTTTCAATATACATGGCATAATCAGTAGTTTTAGTAGGGGGTAGAAAATACCTCATGTAGGTCAGAGCAACTCAGTAAATTTCTACTTATTTATTAATATATGTGATTTATTTATTTTTAAGGTATTTTCTTCTTTGAAATTTGTATTTGTTTGATTTCGCTGCCAAGCATTCCGGAGAATCCTTGGCATTCATTATGCCAGAATTGGGCTTTACGTGCATAAATATACAACATGAAAAACAATGTGTTTGTTGTATCAATACAATAGTGATTTATGAATACATTCGTGCACACTATTACCAGACAAGAAACCAAGATATGATGCAAACCAAATAAAGTAAAATTTGATACTCTCTCTAATTAAAGTGGAATTCTGATTACAAAAAGGGATAAAATTGGATGGTATAAGGTTCCTGCTTTGAGCAGAAGTTTGAATTTTAAAAATCTCTGAGGTCCCTTCCATGATACTATGTTTTGTTAAAGAAAAGATTTATAGGAATACATCTTTTTTCTTTGTGTGACCATTTTTAACTACAGGTTGGCTTTTGTGAACATGGCATAGTCTACCCAATAAAGCAGATGGCTGACAAAAACAAATTACTTAGTTCATTCTACCTTACTTGAAATAAGCATCTATTCAATAATAATCAAAATAATTTTTGTTCTGAAATAACTATTTCCATTGTTCTTAAAATTTGCATTTCCTTTGAATATCTACTTTTGAAAGTGGGGGGGGGGGGTGATTATTCCCCTTAGCTTGCAAGAGGACTGGATATGTGGCATTTGGGTTATTCAATTAATTATTGGATTAAGAACAATAAATAAATTGTTCTAAAGTATTACTATCATTTCCAATAACAATTTGCTAAAAGCAAACCCATAATTGCCCCTTGTATAGTTGCTTCAGTGGAGCTGCCTTTCAAGCAAACATGGTTAAAATCTTACAGCTTTGCCTATTTTATTTCTTGCACCACATCAGGTGGTAATGTGTTTACCATTCTAATTGCTCATTAGACTTTGTGCAGGATGGAGGAGAGAAGCAATCTGTTTCATTATTGCATGTTATGTCCTCAATAGATGGACATATTAGGACATTACTAGTCAGAGAATTCACACTCTGTGTATTAGAAAGGAATTGTTTTCCTGCCTATATTTGTTTATTTTTCACCAGTCCACTTTTCATGTCATCAAAGAAAAGAAAGCCAAAAGTAAAGATATAAAAAGATATGCAGGTAGAGACTAATTTTCAGTACATGCAATGGAAATTTTCAAGCAGCTGAAAACCAAATTACATTTAGGAGCTGAAGTGGAATATTTTCTACAGCAATGCCCATTGCAGCAACATTAAAAATAGCAGCAAAATGGAGGGTAATGGGATTGTTGCAGAAAATGACATACTTAGACTTCTCAGGATACAGGAAGAGTTTATTTGGCAGCCAAATTCAGAAAGCTAGCCCATGGCTAGCATTGCAAGTTCTGAACAACCTTCATTATTGAAGCACGCATTCTTATACATTCTCAAAGGCAGCGTAACATGTAAACACTTAACACATTTCTAATTGGTTACCTTGAGGAAAAAGCCTTATAAGGAGATGGGGTCTTCTCCTTTTGTCTTGGGCCATAGGTACTGACTACGTGTCTTTATGCGAACTTTAATTGAACCTTGGACTTTTTTTTTAAATTGAAAATTTTG